CGACGACGACGAACAAGGCGGTGGAGAACTCTAACGATGGATCATCGGTGAAGCCTATCAAGTATAGAGGAGTGAGACGACGGCCTTGGGGGAGATACGCTGCGGAGATACGCGACCCTTCGAAACGAACTCGGCTCTGGATTGGAACGTTTGACACGGCGGAGGAAGCTGCTATTGGTTACGACAAAGCCGCGATTCGTATCAAAGGACGTAACGCCTTGACGAATATTCTGACGCCTCCTTCTAGTCCGATAACTCCGGTGATCGACCTTGAAACGGTCTCACGTTGTGACTCGGCGAGGGAAGAATCACAATACAGTATTTCTTCACCTACTTCTGTTCTAAGGTTTACTCCCAAGGAAGAGACAGAACCTAACAATCTCTTGTCGGCTGAGTCAAAGGCTGTCGATGAAAAAAATCCGGCGGGTTTTTCCTTACCGGATCCGTTTTTCTTGCCTGAACAGTTTCCATGGAATTCCGATATTACCCCTGATCCTTTTTTTCTAGACGATATCCAGTTATTACCGAACAGTAACACAAACTTGTCGGAGAGTTTTCCTTTAGGTGTGATCGGCGATTTGAGCTCTTGCTCGTGGGATGTTGATGAGTTTTTCCTTTAGGTGTGATTTTTTTCTTTTTTTTTTCCGAGTGATGAGTGTTTGGAGATAACGACGGTGATGCATCTTGGTCGTCGGTTTTTTCCGTTTTCTCAGTTCGACCAAGGTGTACGGCTCCGATCTGCTGGAAGAAGAAGGGGAATCCCGGAGAAGCGTAACGGATTATTATTATTTATTATTCGTAATTTTAAATTTGTGTTGCGAGTAAATATAGTATTAGACGCGAGTAAATATAGTGATTAGATTTTAAATTTGTGAGTTGAATTGGGGGATTTTGGGGATTTATTGGAGGGTTGTGTTGTTTTGATTTTTATCTACCAGTATGTTTGTCACTATGCAAGGAAGCAATATTATTAATTCTATATCTTATAATAAATGTAAATCTTTGTCTTTTGTTCATTCGCATGAATCTCACCAAGTGGGGTTTGTGTGTGACATGTCACATTTTTCTTATACAAGAGATGAAGAGAACATCAAATCAAACTCTTCTCTCAAATCCGAACAATAAATAACAAAAGTAAAACAAATTACTATAATATCATACAAATCTAAGACCAAATCAGCTAAAAATCTAATTTAAACATTCTATCAAAAGGTAACAGATTGTATTATTTTCTATAGCTATATATACTACTCCAATGTTACTTTTTTGGCACTAAGTGTCAGAGCAACAATGCCCATTAATGTGAAGAACCAACTCATTGAATCATATCTAACCCTACAAGTTGTCTCCACTTTAACACAATTCTCAACTTCAAAGAGAGAGAATTAACTACACGTTTAACTTATTGTATCCAAAATTTAAGTCTATGCAAATAGTTAATTTGATCGAACACAAGCATCAAAACTAACAAACCTACAAAGTTTGGTATACATCAGCCTTATAAGGAGAGTAATTGAGAAGGTAAAAGCAATGAAACAGTGTTGAGAAGAGAAAGACAATGTATTGGGACATGAACTTAGATGTCTTTATGTCAAAGACCACAGAGTCTTCTGTTTTGGAAATGGAAATTTAAAGGAAAGAGTCTTCCAATGAAGATGAAGACTTCTCATGATCTTGTCGTTGACCTTAGTCCCCCACTTTGATTTATTTAATTTTTTCTTCCAATGTATCAAACCTTAGATTACGACGTTTCCTAATATCATTACAGAAACATCTTGTAAATTTGCTACTCCATTAGTTTATTCACATGTTTTTAACCTGTCACTCTCTTCCTACTTTTGGAAATGTTTTATACTCCTCCATTGTAGACTTTTCTTTCATTTCTACTAACTATGTTTTTTCATCATCATTTTTCTCCAATTGTGACGAGAGTGTATAAAAGTAGACAAACGAAAAAGAAATCTTATTTGAAAAACTCAGAATAATAGAAAGGGGTCTGTGAACTGTGATGTTTTCTAAATAAAAAAGGACCATTCACCAAAAACAGCAATGACAACAGTATTGGTCCGTTCGAGGTTTAATTTGACCAATTGAATAGATTTGTCTCTTTCGTGTGTTTTAAAAACTGGACCAGACCATTTTGGCTTCCCGAAGTGCGACTAGACTACGGAGAGAAGCAACGCTCCACTCATCTATTAGGAGAAATTCTGTTTAGTTATCTTTAATTGTTGTTTGACAGCAAAGTTTAATTATATTCTATAGTTTCAATATGTAAATTTATTTGTTCAAATGATTTATTATAGTTTGGCTTTCGAGTGTAATGCATTTATATTATACTCCATATTAGTAATATATAACCATGGGTGAGGCAAAATTAGCCGTATGGAATCGCACCGAAGATTTACAAAACATAACAAGATATACATATTCAAAATTTACTTGACTAGGACATGCAATGCAAAGGTATAACCCAAAAAAGAAAATCATAAGCAACCTTTAATGTGTATGGTTTGCGTCAGGAGATACTCTGTAAAAAAAGTTTTAAAACAATACCAACCAATAGTTTTCCCGCAGTAAAATTCAAAAGACTTTTATTTGTAATATCTTACATATAGATGAGCAATAAATAAAGTGGGTCTAAGCCCATGTAGAGAACCACGTTGGAAAAGGTAGTGTCTTTATCAGACAGAGGTTGGCCCAAATCAAATTGAGAGGTGATACAAGTTGCCTACAAAATCTCTGTACCAATGAGATTAAACTGGGTCCCATGAGATCTTTGAGTAATAAATACTTTCCCAAAACGCTTTACACTTAGATATCAGCCGGTTGAACGGCGGTTCTCTTGTAAATACAAAGCTGGTAAATATCAGTTGGTGTGTTAAAGATTCAAAGGCTTATCGTGTTGTCAATTTAGGCAACAAGGCAAAGAACAAAGATAAAGGCACAAAGTGTCTTGTTTTCCTATAACTTGTGTTCACTTAAACTATATTACATTTGAATGTGAAACAAACTGATGTAAAATTCAAACGTAAGGACTGTAGTTTTTAGAGATTGATTTAGCATTTTATTCTAAATATTCCGACTCTAAGATTATAAATTTTGAAAAATTTGGACAAATTTTCTTCCTCAGCCAACACCATTAAACATTATGGTTATAACCCCACGTCAAGAGTTGTAGGTTATGGCTTGCGCTACTATAATTTTGTTTCTCTTTTTTTTTTAAACTGTTAAATTCAGAACAAGTTAAATGCATATTGAATGTGGACACCGTTATGCGTTTTTAGGTACATCTTATCAAATCTGACCGGAAGCTAAACTCTTTTTTTCCACGTTGCACCTAGGGGTCCAACATGACACACTCATTTCTGCAACTGTGTTTGAGCCAATAGTGGTTAGACCTAGATACATCATACATCAAATATTATCTCCAAATTAGAAAAAAGCAACAAAGTGAATGATGATGATTTTGTCTTTAATATGCAAAAAACCCTTGATGTGTTTTCTCTAATCTATACTACTAAACAATAACATTGTTAGGTAGGAGAGCTATTAGTACCTAGTTGGTGAATGCTCATGTTGCTATTGGGTCAATATAAAGATACCACTTATTACTCTTGGTTTCGCCAGCTTGGTTCTCAACTTACCATGTTCTAATTGTCTTCACACAACATATAGACCCTATTCTTGTTGATGAATAGACAGTTTTCAAGTAAAAGCAAAAAAAAAAAAAAAATCTTTGGTTTAAACTATTAATTAATGGATGTGGTCAAATTCGAAATAACGCAGAAAGTTTACAGCGAGCTTTTATTTGTCCAAAGAACTCATACTAATTTACCGGGCTAGCTTATTGGGCAAGAGAGGGGCTAGGCCCAAACCAGGCCCATAGTGTGAACAAATCTTAGTCAAAAACGGCAAGCAGTGCGGTCAAAAGGTTTGAAAACGTCGGTAGCTTGGCGTGTCTGCTCGATATTTTATCATCAGTGGCAACAACGTCGCAAGGAATCATGTGCAGAATCATTTTATTTCCATTTTCTTTTAGATTCCCCATGCAAAATTGGAAAGCCCTAGAGAGAAAGCACCAACCAAGCCATACGCAAATCTGATTAAAAGTAACGGCAGAACCTGAACTTGCTCAATTGAATTGATTCCAATGATGGTGGAAGAAGAGAAATTGGATTCAAAACCGAAACCGATTGTAAATGAGAATTTGAGATTCGGAGAAAGAGCTTTATCAGCCGGCGGCGCCGCTTTTATATCGGCGGTTATAGTCAATCCTCTCGATGTCGTTAAGGTTCGAATTTTTAGACTTCTTCTCTCTTTTTAATTCGGATTGAGACAATAATCTAATTGAGTTTTGTTTTTGTAATAAGCAGACAAGGTTACAAGCTCAAGCTGCAGGTGTTCCGTACCAAGGCTCATGTCGTCTTGGTTGTTTCGAATCCAATTCCACGGTATTGTTTGATTAGCTGATTCATCTTAGCCTTTGAAATGGTTTCTGTATTGCTTAAGCATTGATTTACATATTCTGTTTATTGCATAGGTCTTACATGATGTAAGAGGTAGTAGTTCTCCAGGGGTGTGTCGTATTACTGGCTCTGCAACTGTATGTTCAGATCATCAACAGTACAAGGGAACACTTGATGTGTTCATTAAAATTATCCGTCAGGTTAGAGCCATTTGCCTTGTCTTGTCTTGTCTAGTCTGAGATGCCAATAAAGAGTGGAGACTCTTTTAGTCTCTGATTGTCATGTGAAAGCACCACTTCTTGTCCTTTGAGAATTCATGTATATACTACAATCTTGTGCTAGTGTTTGTGTAATGGTTACATAATCTAGTTACTACAATCTTGTGTTGGTTCACTATTTACTCATTGGTAGAGTTTCACAGGAACGACTTTATGCAGGAAGGGTTTTCTAGGCTTTGGAGAGGTACTAACGCTAGTTTAGCCTTGGCTGTTCCAACCGTGAGTCCTTTTTTTTGTTTTGTTTTTTTGGTAAAGATGTTTGGTTCTGCAACCTATTGATCATGGTGAATATGTTGATTAGGTTGGGATTTACATGCCTTGTTATGACTATTTCCGCAATGTAATGGAGGATTTCACGGGGGAGAAGTCTCCCTCTTTGACACCTTATGTTCCACTTGTTGCCGGGACAATAGCACGCTCCTTGGCTTGTATCTCTATTTATCCTGTTGAGTTGGCTAGGACGCGAATGCAGGTAATAATCCTAAGGGCCTTGAGCACTCGTACGATGATAAAAAATCTTACATTTTATTTCATTAGGTGTTAAGATCATTAAAATGAGCAGAGCATCTAGCAACTCCATAATAGTAGTCTTGTAGACATAGCCAGCTGAATACCGATAGATTCTTGATTTTTAGGCATTTAAGGGAACGCAAAGAGGTGTGAAACTTCCTGGCGTTTGGAAGACATTAGTTGACGCCGTCAATCCAGTCAAGGGCTCTTCAAGTAATGGACAAAACTACAGGATGTTGTGGACTGGTCTTGGTGCTCAACTTGCTCGGGACGTTCCGTTCTCTGCAATATGCTGGTCCATACTTGAGCCCGTGAGTAATTCTGTCTCAGAATCTTCCACTGTGTGTTATACACTGGTCCTCACGACTGTTTTTTTTACGACTATTAGACCCGGAGAAGCATTCTCTCTTTTATGGGTGAAGAACCAAGGGCAGGCAGTATAATAGGAGCAAACTTCACTGCTGGTTTTGTTGCTGGTGCGGTTGCTGCTGCAGCTACTTGCCCACTTGATGTTGCAAAGACTCGGCGTCAAATAGAGGTAAAAACACACATAACTAAATTCATCTTCAGTAAGTCCACTGAGTTACTATAAACAGCAGTTGCACATAAGTATGGCAAACATTTTCCATTTGGGTTCTTAAATGTTGTTTGGTTTTTGCAGAAGGATAGAGATAGAGCTAGGAACATGACCACAAGACAAACCTTGGCTGAGATTTGGAGGTATGAATTACCAAAAAAAAAAAGAGATGTATTAGACATTTTATTTGTTGGTATTAGCAGAAAGTTAAGATGTCTATGTTGGGGTTTATGTATAGGGATGGAGGAATGAGAGGGATGTTTAGTGGAGCAGGGGCTAGGGTTGGAAGGGCAGGACCATCTGTAGCCATTGTGGTTTCCTTTTACGAAGTGGTCAAGTATGGACTCCACCACTTTCACCAACAGTAACACATTTTGTTACTACAAAGATTACATTTGGATGCAGAAGCTAAACAAGTCTTTGGCATCTAACTCAATAAGAAGTGTTCTTTATACACGGCAAAGAAAAAACAGAATTCCTTAGAAAATTTCCAACTTTAATTTTTTTCCCAAGTCGAATATTATTATTTTATTTATTTTAGGACACGAGATTCTTGTCGGGAAGAATACAATAACTCCATGGTCAAGGAGGGTATGCAACATGTGAAATGTCATAAATAATTGGAGAGTGATTCTATATGATTTTGGACCATATATTATTTCCTATCATTTGACATTTTATAATGAGAATAAACTTTATTGCCAATAGCAATTAGAAATGTGCTAATCTTAGTTTTGTTAAACTTTTTGAAAGTGAATAATTGTCAAAGTTTCTGGTAATTTCATTTGAAGCTAATATAAACACCACAGACACATGTATAATATGAATATGAATAAATTTTTCATTTGGACCATATATTATTTTCCTATCATTTGACATTTTATAATGAGAATAAACTTTATTAGAAATGTGCTAATCTTAGTTTTGTTTTAAAAATTCAAAGTTAATAATTGTCAAAAGTTTCTGGTAATTTCATTTGAAAGATTATACAACACCACCACATATGAATATATGAATATGAATAAATTAAATATGGAAGAGGATGAACAAACAATATGATTGATGGAAAACAATAGAGAGTGAGATTCAATCCCCAGGAATCATCTTCATAAGCAAGACAGCATCACAAATCATGAGCAAAGTAAACTCTTAGAGAAGACTGTTATCCACAAACTGAAACTAGAAAAAAAAATCAGAAGAAGCTGAGGGAAGAAGAAGCATCGAGAGGATGGATAAGGTAAGTGAGCACAAGCGCCACCACCATCAGCAAATACGCAATCCCTTGATCTATCGATGTCCCTGTTAATTAAACCAATTTAAAAAAAAAACTCAATTAATTTAAACCAACACAAAAAAATTAGAGATCCGGTTATTTCCGGATTTCACGGGGATTCAGATCTGGAAGGGAAATGCGAGATGAGAGTTACCGTCACTGGTGGGAGCAGGAGCTGGAGCTAGGTTTTGAGCGCCGGCGAGAGAGGAGATGACGGCGAATACAAATGTGAATAACGCGAATCCTGCTACGGAGTTTCTCGACGCCATCTCTCTTCAGTGTTTTGATTTGATTAAAAAAGAACAAGATCGTGAGCTCTGCAGGTGAAATGAAAACTCGTGAGAGAGAGAGAGAGAGTAGTCTGCAGAGACGACGGAGAAGCCGTGTGATGTGAGGAGGATGATGGAAGTATGGAGACGACTTGTTTAGGTGTGTTTTTATAGTAGGTGACCCGGTTCGTGATTTCCGGTTTTAACCGGTATTTGGTCCGGTCAAATCTGTTTAACAGTCAACTAAGTATGATTTTTTCCTGGATTGTTCCTTTTTTTTTCTAGTTTCCTTGTCAAAATTGACATTTGCTATGTTTCTAGAATTGGTTTTTATTTACATATGAATTTCGTGGGAGGAGGAATAGATTCAATGTAATGTTTTGATTTTTTAAAATAACAAGTGAAACAGTAAAATAAAAAAAAATGAAGTTTATGTTAACCTCTACCAAAAAAAAAACAGAAAGAAGTCCTTATATTAACCTCTACCAAAAAAACGTTTGTAACAAAAAAGAACAGAAACAAAAATTATTTAATTTTGACCAAAAAAACAAAAATTATTTAATTGAAATTTGGCGGCTAGTTTACTAACGTTACAGCGAAAGAAGGAAGGCCATGTGATATGCAGGGGTGGGCACGGATCGGATATCCGGGTTTTTTAAGGTATTTGTGATTTGCTTCGAATGTTGCGGATATCTAATTTTGGTATTTGCTTTGCTTCGAAAAAATACGGATATCCGTAAAAACGGATATCCAAAAAATAAATAGATATTTGCGGATATTTACGAATATTCACGGATATCACATCCATTTTGATTAATACAAATAATTTTAAGATTTTGATACAAATTTGCTTTGCAAAAATATTGTTTTGCATGATATATAAAATAAAAAATAAAAGAACTAGTGAATTTACATATTTTGTAATTTTTAAAATTTAAGTTACAATTATAATAACACAAAATTTAAGAAAAAAATATAATCGTCATAATTTTTCTCTCTCTTTTATGTAATACTTTTATATAAGTAATAATGTGAATATAATTGTTCAAAATCATGTGCTAGAATAATAAATATATATTTTAATACATTTAAATTTTTAAATATAATCAAGATATACATATATTTATATTTTTCCGGATCTAATCGGATATCCGCTTCCCAAAATTTTAATATTTGTGATTTGCTTCGATTTTAGCGGATATTGAATTTTAGTATTTGCTTTGATTCGAAAGTTTACGGATATCCGGAATTTTCGGATCGAATCGAAACGAATAACGAATCGAATCAAATATAACGGATAAAATGCCCAGCCCTAGTGATATGTGATTATAACTTTATACTAACTTTTGTTTGTTACCTATTTTGTTAAATAATAGTAATAAAATTCTCTCTTTTTTAGTTAGTGTAATGGTGGGGCTGACTGACAGATTGGCAGCCAAACTGGACCTATTCGCCATGACTCCATCACTCTCTCTTCCTTTGTTTCTTTTTTTCCTTTTAACCGATGATTCGATTCTCTTTCTATGCACTGTTATGTTTTTTCTTTTTCTTTTTTTTTTCTTGATTAATTTAACGGCTAGTAGGTGTCGATCTTGATCAGCTTGATTATCGCTTAATCCACATTTTCTTTGTCAATGTTTGTGTTAGGTAGAATGCTCACAAACTCTATAGTTTCAGTTTGTATAAAACATAAAAATTAGAAATAAGTAAAGCTCGGATTGTTTCAGTTTCTTTGATCAACTTAATTACCATTCTATGCCACATAATTTATAAGTATTTTGACGAGTATATGCTTATACTTGGCTTATTTTTAGTTGGAATACGTCGGCTGTTGAATGTGAGATATGAATAATCTGCTGTATAACTATAATTATTGTTTAATGATTGGTGTAATCTTTATTAGGTGACTATTTGACAAACTCGTTCGAGGTGTTAGCCGTTGGATGAGTGACATCAATCATTTTATATGTTTCATATATAATAATCTTTTAAATATTATACGAATATGCATGTTGCAGTTGGAAATAATGTAGGGTTAACTTTCCAAAAACTAGAAAATTCGAATTTGAAAATCGTGAAACGTTCTGAAGTTGTATTTTTCAAGGGTAACTAAAAAACATTCAAAAAGTTTAACACAACATGTGATACGGAAGGAAAGATACACACAACATGTGAGGTGAATAGTTGAATGAGCTCTCTGACGTATTCAATCATGATACTCGACTAGACTTTCCCATTGAATAATACTCGTTATTCTAAAAACAAAATACTGATAAAATCAGAGAGCTTAACAAGTGAATGTAATTAGTGGGTAGCCTTAACTAGGCATAGTATTTTCTTCGACGAGTAAACTTTCTATCTCGTAAGCTCTTTAAGAACATGTGGCCTATAAATCAATGTTTTACATATCGACATTTGGGTAAAGAACGTAGATGCATAAGATGTGAAGTTGTGAAAGAGACAATAAACCATGGTATATTCTGTTTTTATTAGAGAAAGAAATTAACGATTAGCACAAAGAGCCTGAAATAGAGGGACAATGAAAAGGATGGAGTAATGGACCTGTGAAGCAGCCATGTGCCCTGTTAACCCAACTTGCCTCTTATGGTTCCAATTCTGTTAGCAATGTTTTGGTCACGTATTTTGCAAAGATAAATAATATATACATATATGTAGTTTGACAGAATAAAGATGATAGACAGAACTGCTAGTGTCATGATGAAACAAGTGTCCAAAATTGATATTTTGACAATTCACTGTGATTCAGTGTACAATCATTTTCAGTTGAATCACCAAAACCATCTTCTTCTTTTTTTTTGTTCGTCCGGACTTGTTGCACGAGGAACATTCAAATGATTCTTACCTGGCTAATGTAAAACATGACTTGCAAGAGATGTACCAACTGTAAGATGTTGCTTCCAAGGAAAGATAAAGTTTCGATATCTTTGAACATTGTTTTAAAGCCAACAAGAGTTGTGATTTTCTAATGTTTTTTTTGTCTAAATTGCAAACCAAATTTATGTTTTTTTTTTAAATATATTTTGCTTTGAATGAGTTGTAACAATCATTGGAACAATGACGAAGGCCAATTCCAAAACCCATGTGCGCCTCATCAACACCATACTCTAGTACACTTGCTTTTCTAGGGACTTGATCACACTAGCAAACATCGTATGCACATGGAGATGAAGTCACAAATCAATGCGCTTCTCTCAACTTTCTCTATATTTAGAAACACTTTACAATTATTGCAGAAGTTAAGACAAATCTCCTTACCGTTTCTATCATCAGTATATATTTGGAAATAGTGAGTTGATCATTTCTCGTGGTCTCAGAAAGTAATATTAAGAACTTTTTCTTGCTGAGTGCAATATAATGTTAGCTTGTAACTCTTGAGTGTCATCTACTTGATGATAGATTATGCTTGTTTAAAGAAAATGAAAACGAGAAGTAGCTAATGAATGAAGGAAATTATAATCAGAGAACTCTTTTCTCTCTATTTATCTCAGAACAGTAAATAATATCCAACAACAATTACATAACTAAAGCACACACTTGTACAGATTATATACCTCTAATCATTACACATTGATGCCGAACTTGTGCAAGACCAAATCTGAATCAACTTCCGAAGAATCTGCCAACTTTTATCTCAAACTAATCATATATAGAGTTACATGAAGAAGAATCAAATCGTATCACAGACACAGACAGCTTTTTCTTTTACTTCAACTACTCAGAGATTTGGTTGCTAACCATATGAACTCTCATGGTCATATAGGATTCACAGTTTCCAGGACAAAAACGTTGCTTCAAGTCAAATGGTTGTCCTAGATTCAGACTTGAGAGAGGAGCACAGGTTTCTAGAGTCCAGTGCCACATTGTCAAACCAGTTTCAGCAGCTTCATGTTTCCAGTAGAATTCGCAGCTACAAGCATATTCGATTTTTTTCTCCAACAGACGCTCGACACAAACTGTCCATTGTCATCAAAGTATTCGTTTCCAGAAATGGGATCCACTGATCCAAACTTGTATGAAGTCATTGGCATTGGTAAGGATCTATAGTAACTATATACCTGAGAAGGAACCAAAAGCCAAGTAGAGAATGTTTTTTATAAGTTGAGGAAGCAAACCATTAACAATTCAAGGAAACTTTATAAGCAAGCTAGGCGCAGTTCACATATACCCATATAAGAAAGTTACTTAAATATCCTAAAGACTATGTGTTATGCGAATGTAACAAATACCTCATTGGTCTCTGAACCACAGGCTATATATCCATCCAAGACTGATAATCCGACAAAGTTCTGTATTCCGGTAAAAGATTAGACATCAGAACTAAGTAATAAAGGAGAAATCAGGGTGTAGATAGAATAGAGTTTGGGAGTAACCTTTTGATTTGTATGTCCTTTATACGTCAATGAACAAGCACCAGGTGACAGACCAGAGGAGTTTGTCTTGTTAAGATTCCAAAGCTTGAGAGAGTTATCAGTGGAAGCAGAGACAATGGTCTCTGAATCCATGAATTTAACATAGCTAACAGCTTTCTCATGGCCAGCCAATGTGCACCAAGGATTTTTTACATACCGAAGATCATAGCAATAGACCCTGTAGTCAGCTGACCCAAATGCCAATAAGTGATTGGAATATGCAGAGAATTGCACGCAACACACATTTGCTGGACTCCAGATTGTGCCTAATGACCGTTTCTGCATAGCAACCAGAGAAGAATATAAGTTCTACTACTTTTGGATAGTCATAAATCCATACAGAGAAGAGAATCATACTTTCGGGAGCTATATAATAATTTGGAGTTAAACACAACCTGACATAAGAATAATATTCTAGCAGTGTTATGAGACAAGGGAAAGAACCGTACCTCATTGACGCTCCAAAGCTTTACCGAACAGTCATCACTTCCACTGACAAATTTTGTCGGGTCAGATGGAGAAAAATCAACTGACCAGGCTCTCTTCTGGTGTTCTGTGTATTGGGAAAATCCTTGTCCAGTCCCAGCATCCCATATCTGCATTCAACACACAGTAGAAAAAATGTCAACTAAAACCAAGGACCAATGAATTTGCACGGTCACCCAGACAGCTCTATATCTAATATTATCATGATTAACATTTATACGTTTCCAAAGAGGATGAAAAGAGCACAGGAGCCTGGTCCTATAGATCCTACCGCGTAACATAGTATGGTAAAAAAAGAAAGATTTTAGCATGACACAGACAAGAGAAACCATAAATTTCCATACGCACCTGGACTACACCATCATAGTCAGTCGAGGCCAAGTAGTTTTTGATGTAACTATTCCAGCAAACGCAGCTTAATTTCGATTTGTTGACCATCTCTACTAGTGGATAGTGAACACCGACAGATTCATTCATAAACGCGTTGAAGTCAAAAATCTTGATTTTCTTTGATATCCCAGCTGCTGCTATGTGTTCCTCGTCAGGGTCAAAACTCAATGAGCAAACCACACTGGCAGTGTTTAAAAGGTCTCCACTTCTGATTGTCCCACAGGTTTCAAACTTGCTATACCGAGCAAATTTGCACAGCCCCTCGAAAAAGACTTCAAGTTGATCTGAAGATTTTCCTTTGGTTCTCGTATCCTGATCCTTATTTTGGTTTTCAGACACCCTCTCATTGTCCTTTAGAAGGCTTTTGTCAGAACGGGCACTAGCCGCAGGATCCGATAACTTCATTTGTTGCCTCATGAAGAAATATGCATCTTCAAGTTGACGGATATTACTCATCAGCCTGTCTGTATTAGCAGTTGGTACAAACAAGGTGCCAGAAGTAGTTGTACAGCGCTCGCCTATGGGAGATGACCGCACTTTTCTTTCGATAGCTTCATGAGATCTCACCGGAGATGCTTTTGAAGAATATCTTCGCTCAGCCTCCTTGATATCATCCTCCAAGGTCTGGATGTCTTGCAAAAGCTTAGATGCATTTTTCTTCTTCTGCTTTTCTAGTGAAGACAAAAAATGAAGTAGCAGCTCAGACATCTCCTCATCAGCAGCCGTTGATTTAACTAAATCCTCCTCGCATATCAACTCAGACTTCAGTATTTCTCTGTCAAAGAAAAAGAAGAGACTGAGAACATAAAAGGAAACAACAAGATAATCACAGTGCCATGACACTGAAAACATTGAATAAAGTTGAAGGCATCCAGCATAGAAATTTTATAGATGGCTCAAGACTCTTTGAAAATTGAATAAATCTTATATATTTAAGGTAGTAATATATATAAAAGAAAACTCAAGTCAGGGCCTACACATCCTCCGTTGTACCACTTTTAGTAAATATCCCCCACAATATACATTTCCGAATAGCATTCATCTAAATACCTAGCTGTTGGTCGGGAGGAGGGTTCAGGATGTAGAAGCCAGAGACAAAATCCAGCTTCCTTTGGGTATCTTGAGAGAAATGCTGGTGGGAGAATCCGATGACGTAAATCTGCCATCATTGCAGCATGCATCTCACTGGACTCACAATGGCATAGCAACTGAAACAACCATGGTCAAGCTAGAGCTTTCAGTAAGCATTTTCACATGAAAGGGTCAAACAAGTAAACTAAAAACTGACAAGTTACAGCAAATACTAGCTCTGGGGTTCAAAGGTCAAGCTAGACTAAGCAATTACACGATTACGAATTAAATACTAAAAAAAATGGAACTACCCAAAGCCTAACCCGCTAACTCACAGACAAAAAGAAAAAGAAGTAAAACACATAAGCACTATATGGCTGGTAATACAAAATGTTTTATTGCAAGGAAACGTTACATCCTTTGTTGTTTTAAAAACAAGCTGCTCAAACTAAATTTTTTTATCACAAACTATAAAACTAATGATATATATTTTACCTCAAATAGAAGAACACCAAGGGCATATATATTTGACTTTTCTCCGATATCTTCGCCATTCATCTCCTCTGGACAAGTATACCATTGCTCTTCAAGCCATGTGGACTTAGACTGATTTCTCGTCACTGAAGACACGCCTAAATTTTGGATATAATTCTGCTGTTGAAGCTCACAACTATCGGGATTGAGTGCATCAACGACGTTTAAATCAATCACAGGGCTTTTCCTTTTGAAAGGTCTCTCAGTTGAAGTGGCCTGAAGGTGAATCCCTGACGAATGTACATTTAAGTCCATTTTTCTTTTCTTCAAATCCCTACTAACAACAGATGATTCCTGAATCATGTGCCTCTTCCTATTCAAATCTTCGTCAACATCCGAGTCTAATTTTTTCTTTCCGAAAGTACCATTATATCTAACCTTCTTCGATGGGACCAAAGCGAAAAGGGATGGTCTCAAGTCCAGCAAGAACAATCCTTGTGAATGTGCTGAGCCAATTAGCTCCACCAGCTGCCTAAATAGAGAAAGGCTATGTCGTTTCTCTCGTTTACCATAACTTGATCTAAGAAACTCCCTCAAACTGATTCCACAAGAAGAAGAGTTCGTATGATTCCCTTCACCATGTGATACAATCCCATTACCTTTTGGAATTGTTTTTAGAGCCAACGGATCATGAGCAACAGGCAACTTGCTGCTATTCTCCAACTTTTTATCCTTACATACTACATCTTGATCACAAACAAACTCAGGAGGAGGAGGAGGAGGAGGTTCCTGGTGTTTACCAACAACCCCTTTCCCCTTCATAGCTCTTTTAAGTATCAACTGAGAAAAACTCGAAGAACTCAACGGCGTTTTCAAGTGTACACCGTCGTTGATCCATCCAGGCCCATTGTTCATAACACTGTTCTCTCCAGCAGCTCTCAGACGTTCAGAGAAAGCTTCAAGATTCTGATCGCTCCTCTTATTCACAAAAGGCTTCAAGTTTTGCCTCTCGGAAGGAGCTCCCGCAAGCTGCTGCCTAATTCTCGACAACATCTGATCCATATCACGAGGTTGTTGAGAATCAAGATCTCCTCCATCTCCTCCCCTAAACGCAGAAGAGCCAAGCCGGTACAGATGCTCAAACTTCCCAGCCCTAGAACTCTCCATATTATTATTACTCCCTTGAACTGCTCTATAAGTCAGCTCTTCAACAGAGATCTTAGAATCCTCAGGAGGCTTGTTGATATCAACAACATTCCTGTGAGCAGCTGAGCTTCCTCCAGGACAATCGCTCCTCACAGGCTCTGATTCAGTAGTCACCATATGAAGCGTCGTCGTACAAGGCACATCGTCCACTCTTCCTCCTTTCAATTGCACGTTGTTACTCCCCACTGTTTCTTCTCCCACTCTTTCCATTTCATTCATCTCATCCTCATCACCTAAAATTAACAATCGAATCGCATCAGAATCAGCTATGCATGTTCAAATTCAAACGTATTCTAACCTAAATCTCTAGTAGCTCTACACACGACGATTCTGTGAGATTTCAGCAAACGAAGAATCAACAACGATAAATACACGAAAATCAAAATCGGTTTACCAGATAGGGAGAGATCACAATCAGATCATAGAGAGCGAATCGGTGAATCCATACGGTGAAGGCAAGTGGAGAAGAAGAAGAAGAAACCAATTCGAACCACACGACGAAGAAGGAAGGTATGGTGAGGATATAAACTTCGAGAAACAAAATAATATCTACTCGAAACACAAACAATGAATCTCTCTTTCTCTACACTAGAATCATTCCTTCTTCATCTTCTCTTCTTCGTTTCCCTATATTTTAAAAATTATTATTTTAATGATTAATTTTAGGCTTCGAAGCCACATATTTTAATGATATGCCTTTTCCTTTTTTCTGGCGGAGGATTTTCCAAACCTTATTTATTTCATTTTTATATTACTTTACGAGAAAAAAGAGAAAGATTTTTTCTGTCTGGCTGCCCAATTATTTCACTTGTTAGTTTAAACAAAGTGATTAAAGAGGCTAACATCACACCGGATTACGTTGATTAAGTGATATCATCTAAAGAGACGGTGCTGGTTTTTGGTGTTATTTACGGTAATTGCCACTCTCGGCTTTCCTCTTTGGGAAGCAATAGGGCTGGCTGTAGGGGCAGACTGGTGAATAATGAGAAAAGGCGAGGGTATTGAGAATGTTGCATGGGGGGATATTTGTTTTAAGAGGAGGAGATTAAAACACGTCAACGTCGCTTAATCTATTCTCCATTTCGAGAGGGGGTCACACGTGAAAGGTGTGGAGATTAACAGGCCACGATGTACATATCGATAAATTAATTAAATACTCCAAGGCTGACATAGTTTATGGGCTTTGGGTCGTTTAGAAAAT